TGAAGCCTACTTTAACTCTATTATTTGACTTTCTAAGATGGTAAAAATCTTCAATATCTTACAAAGAAATTTAGATGACATTCTTTATTAGTATAAATTGGTAGATTTTGTTTCAACATGACATCAATATTAGATTATTCTCTGTTCTCCCTGATAGTTCCATCGTTATTTATATCAGCACGCATATTATTTTGCTTCTTTTTTTTTTTAATCACTGATGTTCGTTAGGATACATCGATGAATAGAGAAAAGGAATTAAAAGAAATTGAAGACAAAAATGCTTATTAAAATATGCAGGAACGACAAGTTAATGATGATATGTTGATACTTAATGCTAGCATACATTATTTATGGATGTTGATATCACTCTAATACTTTTGATTAGTTGAAAGTCATGAATAATGTCGAAGAATCTGTTGATTAATGATAACAACGCAACTGATTCTGAGTAAGGCTCATGGATCATCATATCAATAGTAATTGATAGTTAGAACTTCGGATAAAAGTTACAATAGTTGTAACTTTTAATTAATGTACTCTTATATGAAACATTTAGCGACATCTATCAACATTGAGAAAATTCTTTAAAATGCATAGTAAATAATACATAGTCTAAGAAATTCGGTTCGATATATAAGTACAAGACAATGTAATTAGAAACATAAATTTAGTTAAATCTATTCAAAGAATGAAGAAATTAATTGACTTTCAATAGTTGATAATTACCATCACTGTTGCAAATTCTAATTGTGCTTGATAACTCAACTAGTTTTTACTACTTCGAAACTACAAACGATCAATAAATGTTATACATTTTATTTTATTGTACTTATCAAATGAATATTTTCTTGAAACTATCAAAGATAATAATCATGATTTTTAAAAAGACTCATCAGTCAACATTAAAAAATAAATAATGATTGTGATCTGTGATCGATCACATTTGACAGGTGAATATGAAAGAAAGAATAAACAAATCAACATCATATCTTTGTATAAACATATGAATATTCTCATCTATGAAAATAAAAAATAGATAGAGATACTATTCAACATTAATGATTAGATAAATTAGTATATTTAAAAGAAAGTCATTTCTATCAGAATTATATAGATAGGGTAAAAAAAAATCTGTTATTTTTTATAGTTTTTCTTTATTATGATCTGAAACATTTGTTTTGAAAAAAAAAATGCAAATAGTAGCAATGATGATCATAAAATAAAGCACATGTTATTCTTATTTCTCTTTTCTCTGAAATATCTGTTTAGTATCGATTCATCTCTATCAGTAACAAGTAAAATAAGATAATCTATCTCTTTCTTCTTGTCAGTATGTGTGTGTGTGTGTGCATATCCGACATGGATATTTTCATCGTTCTGTTTCTTTTCTTCTCTTATGAATTAAATAAAATTATTCTCGAACTAGAAATAGAAAAGAAAAGCATCGATTAGAATTATTTATTTATATTCAAATTTCAAATTGAATGAACACAATATGAAGCAACAAAATCCAACTAGTTCATCTAATGATTTAGCTTTATCACATTCATTTTCTCGTCGACAAATGGTAAACATTTTTTTTTTAACACTTAAATAATATTTATTCGTGTTGTTTTTTGTTTTAAATTAGACAATGATGAATTCATATCTTGATTCATCAATATCTTCTGAATTAACAACAAAACCAACATCAACATTAACAAATGTACGTTGTCTTCATTGTGGAAAATATTATTGTCAAATTGATTTTATATTTTCATGGATTTCACGTTATGGAAATTCAAATGATCAACAATATATTATTCATCAACGTATACAAGATATTATTTCAAAGTAAATATTCTATTCTGTTTTTATTATAATTAATAAAATTATATTTAGACGTTTATCTTCATCAGATCCTGAAAATATTTGTGAAAAACGTTTACTTGATTGGTATAAATCAATGAAAACAAATATTTCAAATGAATCAATTCATTTATCTTCACCAGCTAAACCAACCAGTGTGAATACATTACATATAAAAAAAAAAAAACTAATTTTCTAAAAATTAAAATATAATATTATTTTTTAGTCAATATCTGGATCATTTATTTCAAATTCTTCAATAATATCTCAACATAATCCAAATACAATTGATTATAAACAATATTTATTATCACAATCAAGTGCTTTTCCACCTGATGAACCATTATTATCATCAACTGTTTGTAATCGTTTATTATCATCAATACCAACACAAACATTTCAAACACAAAATCGTGCTGGTTTATATCAATTATGTTCAAATGGACGTTATATTATAGCTGATGATTGGTGTCAAACATATAAAGGTCATCGTTTATCACAATTTATGCGTTGTCTTACAATATATAATCAATATGAAGAACAATGTTTATTAATGTTACCAGAATTTAATACAATGACACAAATGGATTCCGTTCAAAGTATGACATGGCATGAACAATTACAAGTTTTTCTTTTTATAACGTAAGATATTTAAAATAATAAAAAAAAATTTATTTTTTATATTTTAATAAAGTTATCATCGTGTATATCAATGTGAACCTGAAAGTGGTGCAATAAATCAAATAAGTGAATATGAAATTCCATCATCAAGACATTGTTTAGCTCATATTGCTTGTGATCAACAATCATATGTATTTCTTGCATATGAATATCCAGCTGCAACTCTTGATTTATGGTTTATATCAACAATGGCTACATGGTCACTTTTAAAACGATGGAAACCAAGAGAATTATTTCCACCACCAATATATAATGATAATGATGATATTGAACAAGATCAACAAGAAAATGTTTGTTATTAATTTATGATATATAATATTTATTTTATTTATTTAATTTAAAATAGTATGATCAAGAATCTGGTGTTTGTGGTATTGCATCAATGCGTTATGGAAATGGAATATTACATTTTTTAGCTCGACATGAACGTCATTGGTGTCTTCATTTATTTTCAATAAATATAAATGAAAAATATCAAAAACTTATACCACAACGACGTATTGATATTGATTTATCACATCTTCGTTTTGCTGGTGAAAATTTTCAAATGGAAATTTTACCAGGTGAACAAGGTTGGCTATTTGCTATACGAAGACCATATCTTATTCATTTAAATTATAATGGAAAAGATGGTATGAAACTTTATTAATTAATATATATTGTTTGTTTGTTTGTTTTTTAGCACAAAAATTATTATTACCAACATCAAAACGTTGTGCAGATTCAATTTATAATGTTTGTATTATGGATGAACGAGGTAAAAGACGTGAAAATGGAAAACATCTAGTTGTACGAGATGTTAATTCAATTCGATTCTATAAACTATAGATGAAATTTCATATTTTTTTGTCTTTATATGTAAAATAGTCTATTTGTTTGTTACTGTTCTGTTCTGTGTTTTTTTTTTTGAATGTGTCCTATGTTTATGTGAGAAAGTGTATGCTAGAAAACTTATTGTTTTATTTTAAGCACTGGAGATTTTTTGTTTTTCTTCTTTTTGCTATTGGTTTTTTTGGATGATATTTTGTGTTATTATTTCTATTCTATTATATGTGTTCAGAATAAAATTGAAACATAAAAGAAAAATTAAATCAGATATTATTATTATTTTCTTTTTTTTTACATGATATTATACTTAATAAGTATTCCAGAAATTACAATAGGAAAGATGAATTTTGTTTCGAGAGATGATACTTCAGTCTTTAGTTCAATTAAATATTAATATCAATTCAAATAAAAACTAGAAATAATGAAAATTATATAATATGTTCTCTAAGTTCTAATAATACAATTAACAAAGAATATTTAACATTTCCTAATACTGAAAATAACAGTTGACATCCGAAACTTTGAAAAATACTGAAATAAGTTCTATTAAAAAAGTCAATTAAATCTGTTTATATTTGAGATTTAATGTAATAATTTTTTTTTTAATTTAAACAATCTGAAAGTAATCATTTTATATGTGCATGTAAATGATGTCATCATTTACTATTATTGTTTAACACATGAAAATTTTCTTAAGTCGATTCCTTTCTGTCTACTTTAGATAAATGTCTTTAGTTTCATCTGTTAGATTGAGTTGGAGAAACTAAGTTATTTATTTTCTTTTGAACAAATCATATTCATTAATATCTTGTTGCTGTCTGTTGTTGTCAATTGAGATGACATTATTGATCGTCTATAGACCAAGAAAAAATATAAAACTAAAAGACGACGACAACAACATAGTTTTCACTCGATTTATTCATATATCAATTTTATTGTTCTTTATTTGAATTAATCATTTAAATATCTATCTATCTATCTCCTCATGTTGTATAGAAGCAAAAAAGATCAAACCATTTTCGAATAAATATAAGTCTTGTTTGATAAAATTATTTATATCGAAAGGAACAGAAACTATTTTAGAAATAAATACTATTGGAGAATATATTGTCTTCAGGCTATTTAACTGATTATGATCAAGTTCGATGTTGAATAAGAATATATAAAAGATAGAGAAAGACTGAGAGAAAGTCTTCCACATAATTTCATTTTCATTTATTTTATTTAGCATCTTCATCACTTGTATAGTCTAAAGCAACAGGCTATGATCATCGACAAGCACATCTACTTGTTTTCATTGACTAATAATAGTAATTTCGATTAACATCTAGTCATAGAAAACTTTAGAAGAATTTTGATCATTTCGAGACGACATCGAGCAATCTAATAATGAATGTCTGTTGCATGTTTCACTTTATATTAACTTCAAGTTAATGATGTGATATAGCACCTGCATATTCGAATTAAAAATGTCATAGCACGATACATAATATAGCTGTAAGCATTACTTTTCCATCGCTGTCTTTGCTTCTTTATTTTAGATAAACTTCTTTTTTCTCTCTTTCTTTTTTTCCTTCTCTGTCTTCATTCTATCTCTCTCTCTCTTCATTTTTACGTACGGAAATGTGGATCAATCCAAAATTATGGTACAACAATTATCATCAATTGGTTTTATTTTGATAAGAATATTTCTTGTGCTTTTTAATAAAGCCGAGTGTAAATCAAGTGGTGGTCATTATTCATCACAACGTACACTTAATTCTGGACCTTCTGGTGGACATGGTTTTTCTAGTGTTAATCAATTACAAAATCCAATGTATTGGAGTAGTTCATGGTTTCCATCAGATTTAGATTCATTCCATGATAATCGTATGTAAATATATTTTAATTATAAAAATAATTTTAAGAAATTTATAAATATTAAATATTTATTTTATTAAGAAATAATTTTATAGTTCGAAAAAGTAAAGAAAGTTAATTTTTTTTTTCATTTTGTTTGATTAATCTCGTTTATGATGATTATGAAATAAATGTTATGTTCGATTAATTATTTGTTCTATCATTCATTTATTCAATAATATAATTCTTCATCTTTCTATATTATTCATGAGAACGATTAACTATGAGTTTTTATTCATATTTTCAGCCATTCTTCTTTCTTTTCACATTGTGTTTAAACAAATAGAAATAAAGAACACAATATCTTGTTGTTTCCTTTGCTCTTTTTTTCTCTATTATCATCGTCTCATTTTTTTTTAGTTCTCTTCTATTTTGGCAAGTACCATAATGTCTAGTTCTCTTTACATTAATAGTGTCAGTAGTATATGAATGAATGAATGAATGAATGAATGAATGGCTAGTGAATATTAAAATATTCATTTTAATAGACAATATGGTGATTCCACTCATCTTATTTTTTTTCTTAATAAATTCATTTAAGTTTAATTGTCAACTAATATTTACTAGTTTGACAATGCCAAATAAAGATAGTTCAGTACCTTCGTCTCCGTTGAGTCAACAACATTCTCAACCTATGTCAAATTATTATTATCATCATCCATATTATCACTTAGCTTTCAACGATTCTGATTCAATACCTGATGAACAACGTTTAATGGCTCAATTATTAAGAAATTATGATCCATCTGCACGACCTGTATATAATGCATCGGATACTGTTAGTGTTTCATTTGGTATTGCTTTGACTCAACTAAGTGATATGGTATGTGATTATATAGATATTGATTGATAGATCAATGATTTGGAACTAGATGAATCTTTTCAAATATTATGCAAATATTCCAAAGAGAAATAATGCATTGATGCACAACAATAAGATTGTAATATTTGTTTAATAGAAGGCAATATTCTTATTTTCTTTTTCTTTGATTGACATAGAAGGACAATCTGACATTGATAAATTTATAAAAAAAAAGAAGGAAAAAAATTGTTTGCTTCAAGCATCATGTATAGATAAATGTGCATTCATGCAAAAATTAATATGAAATAACTTTCTGAATATTTCATTTGTTTTTTTTTTAATCAACTATTATCTCAAGAAAAATCATTTCTTTTAATGTTTATTTTCTAAAATTTTATACATATAAAAGATAAATCGCAAAAAGACTTTTATTATATTATTATTTAAATAACATAAAATCAAATGTTCAGATCTGAAAAAAATAAACATATTAAAGGTTAACTTGTTGTGTATTTTAAATAAAAACTCATGATGTATAGGTACATATGTCAATAAATATCAGAAAGAAAATATATAATTTCCGTTTCTGTAATCAAATTAGTCATCTACACTTTTTATTTATTCAGTTCTATGTCAACAATAAATAGTCAATATATTTATTCAAATGAAAAACAAAAAAAAAAATCTTAAGACAATTTATCAGTTAATATTGATCTATTTAATCAATTTTTAAAAACAAATTGATTTATTTAACGAAATAAAAAATTTTTAATTTAGGATGAAAAAAATCAAGTATTAACTACAAATATATGGCTTGAACAGGTTTGTTTAATTTAGATTATAGAAAATAATCAAATATATATATTTATATATTATAAAAATAAAGGAATGGTTTGATCAACGTTTAGTATGGAATGCATCAGAATTCAATGGTTTAACAACTCTTCGATTACCATGTTCAAAAATTTGGTTACCTGATATTGTTTTATATAATTCAGCTGATGATTATACACAAGGTTATTATCAAAGTAAAGCTATGGTTGATAGTAATGGACATGTTTTTTGGCCACCACCAGCTAAATTTCGATCATCATGCAAAATTGATGTTACTTTTTTTCCATTTGATGGTATCATTGGTTTTTTTTTTTTTCATTCTATAAGATTAAGAATTATTTCTTATTTTTTTTTAAAGATCAATTATGTAAATTAAAATTTGGTTCATGGATATATGATGCAGCTCAAGTCAATTTAACAAAACGACGTGATAATGTTGATATGACAAATTATATTCGATCGGGTGAATGGCATATTCTTAATATTGCTATTAAACGTCATGATGTTACTTATCCATGTTGTCCAGGAATATATTATCCTGATGTAACTATATATGGTAAGTAAAACAAAATATATACCTTTCTTTTTTTTCTTGTTTTTATTTACTGAAATAAAATAAATTTCTAGTTCATATTCGTCGTCGTATTCTATATTATTTATTTAATATTATATTTCCTTGTATATGGCTTTCAATTCTTTCACTTCTTGGTTTTTGTCTTCCACCAGATTCGGGAGAAAAAATAACACTTGGTATAACTGTTCTTTTAGCTTTTTCTGTTTTTATGTTATTAATTGCTGAATCAATGCCAGCAACAAGTGAAATGGTACCACTTATTGAAATATATTTAACAATTGTTATGGCACTTACATCATTATCAATTGTTCTTACTGTTTATGTACTTCAATTACATCATTCAGGTCCTGTTGTTATTCCAGTTCCACGTTCATTTAAATATACATTAGTTAGACGTATAGCACCTATTATTGGAATGAAAAAAATTGTTGAAATTTATGCACGAGAACATAATTTAACTGAAAAAGATAATGTCTATCGATGTTTTGCTCAAACAACAACAGCAACAACAACAACAACAACAACAACACAACCAACAGATAGTCCAATAATCAAACATAAAAGCAAAAGAATTAATTATGAAAAAAAGAAAACAAAACATCAACAAAGTAATATATTCTATAAAAATCTTAGATTTTCTTATTTTTATTTTTATCATTCACAGTCTCTGTCAGACATATTATCTTGTCTTTTCGTATATGATTAATATAGTAAATAAAAAGAAAAACTAACAGAAAAACAGGCGAAATAAACATTGATCTTATCTAATATATAAACAGAGAAATATATTTCAAGTAATTTCATTTACTCAACGACTTAAACTTATTGATACTCATAGAGACTTGAAGGCAATAAATGATAGATTAGATTTGAACGTGCATATTGAGATGTAACTCTATATATTAAATAGATACTTTTGTTTTTTTTTATTATACGTGATATATTATCGGAAATATTTCATTAGGTTTCACTGAAAATTGTAATCAATTAATTACTAGTTTTTTTTTTTTGCTTTCTATCTATTTTCATACGAAAAGAATAATATTCTTAAACGATTTAATATATTAATTAACAGATATAAATATTCAATTTAGATTTTTATGTTAATATTTCATAGTACATTAACATAGTCGAATCTTTGAAAGGTATCTGTATCTGTAAAAGACTCGAATACTCAAAATGGTTGAACATTATAGTAATTTTCAATACATACTATGTTTTTCGATCTATGAACACTCATCTTTTTTAAAAGTAAGTAGGTCTACTCGACTTAAGAACGTATCTAACATATTAGGCTTTGATGTGCTAACTTCAAAAATAAAGAGAAGAGACTTATTTTCTCAGTTTGAAGTCCTATAATTGAATTTACCGGAAAAGCTCATGAGAACGTCTCCAGTTGATCTTTATTATCAATGAGCAATATTTAATCATATAGAGCCTCATATATGCGAGCATTAGAGTCATGACCACTTCTTCTCTTCTTTGCCTGTTGGAGTCTTTCTTTTCGTTCTGTTCTTAGATTTTTGGTCTGTTCGACTGATACCTTGCTACATTTTTCATCTTATTATCTCTTTTCTGAGCATTGAATCTCACATTGTTGTCCAAGGTCATGTTGTTCTTACGTAGAACAAAAGAATACGATGTTGAAGCTATTATATATGATACTATATAGAATTAAACGCAATAATTAATTATAGAGACCTATTAAATCTGTTTACACATAATATGTGTTGAATTCAAGTATAAGGTTGCAAATTATGAAAATTTATCCCTTCTATTTTGCTAAGGATAGCATTTTGAAAGCCTTATATTTGGTCTCTATGCTTAAGTCGCATTGGTGTATTCACTAGTAAAAGATGTGGATGTTTGTAGAATTAGCTCGATCTACTGATGGTATCAGCTTTCGATATGGGAGTGTTCGCATGTTTTTTTACGGATACTTAATATTAAATAATATCGATTTCTGATGGATATTTCAAATGAAGAAAAACTTCGAAGGCATTTAGAGGATATTTTTAGAAAAGTAAACATGTTTATTTATGATAATGATCTCTTTAGAGATAAATCATCAAAAAGAATCTCAACATGATGAAGAAGATCTTAATCATAATGATGATTATAACAATGATGAAGAAGAAATAACAAAAGAATTTTTAACAAATTTATCAACAGGAAATGGTGATATTCGTTCATCATCATTATCTACCAAACCTCATCATCATCATCATTGTCGTTCACGTCGTATTATACCTCCAATAGTTCTTATTCCTCAACAATCTCATCCATCCTCAACATTAGCATCATCATCATCTGTTTTGACTAATTCTCGTTCGCATAACTTATTTAATTCGAATATGTATTTACTTGAAAAACATTTAAAATATGTAATTAATAAACAAAAACTTGAAGAAGATCGAAATGAAACAATTAATGAATGGAAATTAATGGCACTTATTATGGATCGATTATTATTTTGGCTTTTTACAATGTTTACTATTTTAAGTACAGTTTTATGTTTAATTATTATACCACTTTTGAAAAATACTGGATATATACCAGTACTATCAACAGATTTAGCAACAGAATACAAAGCAATAACACCAGTGACAAGTGTCATTGATGGACAACTAACGATAAATCTTACTGGTCAATCGACAGGAGATAAATAATTGATTTATTTTATTGTTTAATTTTTCTTTCTTTGTATGGCTATATAAAACAAATTGAATTTGTTCATTTCTTTATTTTAAGTTTTTCATAAGTTAAAAATATAGTTTTAACAAAAAAAAAAAAAAAAAAAAAAAAAGTAAAATTTATTCAATTTTTATTTCAATTCATTTAATGATTGCATATAAACAGCAGAAATAGAATTGAATACAGTTGATGTTGATTATGTAGACACAAATCGATTCATTCTATATTTGAACTACAGAAGCACTTCGATGATCTATGTATGAGCCATTCCATATAAACCACGACTAGTGATCAGCAGAGTCACACTTTTTGATTCCGAAAAACTTCCAAATTTTTTTAATAGCTTAGTGACAACGAATTCATATCAAGAAATCGATGATTATATGGCTGCTGATTTTAGTGAGTTTTTCTGGCAATAAGCATTCTGATAGGAGATCGTTCACATGAGAATCCCAACTTTCACCAATAAAACTTTCGTAAATATAGACCCTCTGGAATTTCGATAATTGGAGAAAGTTCACTGTACTTTCGCCAACAACTCTACTGGAATTTCGCCAAATAGATTTTGAATTAGATTCATATGCATTCTATATTAATATTGATCAGTCATAACTGGCGAAAGTTCATCGTACTTTCGTCAACGCGTCCTTTGGAATTTCGCCAGTTGGCAAAAGTGCAGTGAAGTTTCGCCACTGGCGAACATCCTAATGGCAAGAACCCTATTGGCGAAGTTCTGAATATTGATATTTTATTATTTTGGCGACAACAACAGCATTTATATCCAATCTTATCAAGCATTTCAACAATGGTTTATCGAATACCAGCTCCGCGTATGATCATTGAACCTTTTTTTCAGAAGCGAAAAACCTTGTTGTAGAAAAACGAACACATTTAGATTGTGAAAAAATATACTGCATATTACTTTTTCAGAAGAATATGAAAACTTTCAGAGAATCATCAAAAAATGATTTTCGTAAAACACGAACAACGGCTTCAAGCAATTGTTTCTCGATGTCGACGATAGTTTTAATGAACATAGTAGTGATTAATATCAATATCTTTCTTGGGCCATTGGTTTTGTTTATAATTGATTTATAAAACTAACAGTAGCATATTTTTGTTTATTATATATGTTTATGAAAAAAATTGTTTCTACAACAAAATCAGACACGTTAATATTTTGTACTAATATAACTCAGATATTAGCTGCCAAAAACAATTTCTTACAATCTATACCAGTTCAACTTCGTTAGAGTCTAAATCGAAAATCAGAGTTTGGTTCAATTTTTTACTCCGACTTCGACTCCGGAAAATTGTTTTTTTTTTTCAATTTCGACTCCGATGCAATACTCTAGCCACGACCGATGGATAGAGAAGCTACTCAAACAAGGTCTTCAGATTTTGCTCAATCTAAGCTACTTTCATAGAAGGATGCAAGTCGTTTTGAAAAATATTGAACCGTTCAATTTTTATGGCTGTTTTACGAAAAGCACTAAAAAATCAGTATCACCGCCAAGGAGAATCCTGACTGGACTATAATATCTCAAGAGTGAAATGACCGATTGAGCTGAAATGTTTCATGGGCATATATCTTCATGAGTTATAGCCACCATATAAGTTTCAGTTCAAAACATAGAGTCCTTAATTTTTTATGACTCATCCAAATGAGAAAAAGATTCATATTTTGAACAATTTAGGTACTTCACAACTCGTAATAGGAATGAGATAGAGGCCTAAAACGTTTACACAAGCTAGAGTATATAGCAATATGTATCTCTTAAGACTTTCAGTTTTACATGCTTTTCTTTTTGATCAGCAGAACTCTCAAAAATCAATTTTTGATGAAAATCGTGATTTTCAGATGAGGTTTTCTCCCAAGAAACCAGATTGTTTGAGGGCTGAACTAAAGAAGTTGGAAGAGTCATTTGAGATGTACAACTTCATAGCAAAATCAACCTGAGACATTCAGAAACGGCTTGCAGCAAATATCATAAAAGTCTTCCCTCTATGAAAGTATCTTAGATTGAGCAAAATCTGAAGACTTTGTTTGAGGAGCTCCAGTCGTTGCTTACGTGGAATGGCTCGTATTGATAGGAAGTAAATACTTCTCGATATCGAAATTGATTAATGTTATTGATAGAGGATATTATCAATCCAGTATGAAGTAAATTAAGAGCTTTTGTCAAATTTATTCAATCAATCATTATATTTTTCAAATAATCTCATTAAAAGCAATATAACAAAGACCAAACGTATACTTCATTAAAGGTATTATATACATCTAATATAGAACAGTTAAGTACGGATACATAAGAGCAAATTTTTATCAGAATTATTAATGTTGAATTTTAAACGTCAACATTAAACAGGTACAATATCTTGATTCATTTATGGATCAAAATTTAAACAATGAATAGCATAATCAATATAAATATTTTCATTATTCTTTAGGTATAATGAAGTTGGCATTATATATTTCTTTGAAACATAATTTATCAATCTCTATTATTGACATGACCTATTTAGCCAACTAGTTCCGTAACATTGAATATATTCAATAAATATTCATAATCAGCTTAAAGATAAATATCTTGCTTCTTGAAGTTACAAATTTGAGGAATAAATAACACTAAAGTCGAAAATGAAAACGTCAGAAAAATTTGAACCTGTATTCAAATACTACGAACAATATATTAATAAATCTTGTAAAATTGATAGTCTTGAAAATATCAGAGAAAAAGATGCTCAACATCACAATATTTTTACATTTGAATGTCTACATTAGAAATTTAGTATATTTATTGAAATGTTTATTACTTTTTAAAAGCTTAGAATACTTAGAAGAAAATAATCTATAAAGTTCTCTTGATCAGTATGTTTCAATAATTTCAACTATATTTCAAATAATTTCTGCGAGATATTAGTTTTACTTTATTTTCAAACAAATTTTTTCCATTTGTTAACTTTACACCAATTCATATTTGCTTAATCTCTTTTGAATGACGTCAAAACATTTCAATATATTTTTCATATTAGTAATTAAATCTGCCAGAAAATAGAAAAACGAAGCCAAATAGACACATTTGTAGTTGAACATAAATTATCCATGTATATAACACGGCATCAATAATGAAAAGAACAAAAAAAGAACCAACGAACAAAAACAAGAGTTTCATAGATTCACTCGATTGATAGAAAATAAAGTAGAGAGCGTAAGAAGAACACAAGTATATAGAACAAATGTCGTTGAATGATGTACGAAGAGTACATATATGATGAAACGTGTTTGTTACACGTGCCTATATGTTAGGTAAAAAGAATTTATATAACTACTACTTTTATTTATTTATTGATGAGAAGAAAAAGCACTTTTACTCTCGATATGATTTTATATTTTTTATTTGAAGATTGAAGGTATAAAGTGATTTAATTAATTATTAGTTTCGAGTAAGTCTTTGACTCATCGACATATACTTATGTTAAATAGTACTTAACGTATTTGTAATCGATTTTTAAGTAAAGATATAGCATATATATTGAGAAACCTTTCATTCACTTGGCGAGTGTGGATATGGGTGTCTGCATGAGGATACTGATGCATGTCGAGGAGCCATCGGTACGCATCAAGCAAGCTTCTCGCTTATGGGAGCTTTTACACCCATACTCACACCCCACACTAATCGAACAACACTATCATTCCTTCATCCACTCACACCCGAATCTACACACCCATACACACATTAAAAATAGTAACGGAAAATTTGTTAAACACATTATATTTGCAGGTTATGCTTGGAGCAATGAAGATTTTCCTAGAAACGCGCAGTTTCAGACAACGACAACAAAATCTTATAGTCGAGCGATATCATAATAGTACTCATAGAATAAAAAAACATTTACTTTTACGTGATCTTTTGTTTCGTACATCACCCGACAGTGAATCGAAAAAGTCAATGTGCCAAGAACTGTTTTACTACTTGTATATGGATCATTTTAAAGGTTCGGAAAGCTTTTGTACTATCTATCCTAAACAGTCCCCGATACAGTGGTACCGAGATGTGGGTGTGGCTGTGGCTGTGGCCGTGGGTGGGTAGGGTATGGGTATGGAGTGGGCATGAGTTACAGAAGAAAAACACGCCCACATCCACGTTTCAATTTAACAGTTACACCATTTTGTTCACATTTGAATTCTACGTCTGATGACATCATAATAGATCTTTCATAGAGCAACTTTGAATTTTAACAAAATAATTCTTCAAAGTATACTCTAAAATAACGACAGTTACTAGTTCCGAGTCTTTTACTTAGGAGCAGCAGCACCAGGAATTTTGAAAGAATCATAGAAGAATATACCACAAAATGCCCTATCTATAAGTGGTAAATACTTTATGTTTAGCACTGATCGATTAATGTCAGCAAAAAGTAGAAAATAACAGTTGAAAGATTGAGTAGATGTGAATCTTTTTAATTAAACATTAAACAGAAAAACGTATTTGAAAAACAAAATAGATAGTTCTGTAGAAGTTGAAATTCGTTATCTTTTAATGAAAATGAATAGGTTTCTTGGGCAGGAAATGAATGAAAAAAAGCAAAAACATTTAGTATAATTTATTCTGGCCCACCCGTTATTTCTAATTTTATTCTTCATTTAAACATATTTTAAATCGTGATTTACTGTTTACAAACTTCAACTATCAAAAAAAAAAAAATATTCGTTCTTTTTCTCTTAATTCCACTTGAAAAACAGTCGATTTCTTTATTTTTCAAAACGAATATCAAATTTTGCTAAGAATCAAAGTAATTTTTCTAAAAACACATAATGATTTTTTCATATTAATTAAAAATTTCTTCTCAAAATAATATCAAAGTGATTGAAGACAAACTCACAATTGTAGAATAGAACTATTAAGGAAAAATTGATTTTGTTTTCAATAATCAACATATATTAGTTTATCTCGAAGCGGTTCTCTTTCAA